GGTTTTCTCAGAGGCTAAACATATATAAAGTTGACTTGTTAACCTCATGTTTCTGTGTTAGCAAAGATTTAAGAATTAAAAAATTCTTAAGGGGTCCTAGACTAGAAATTGTGTGTGAAACATGAATGTACAATTCTTATTTTTTTATTTTAAAGGATATTTAGTGATTTAAAATGTTGCCTCAAGGAAAATATGTTTGTTAAATTTAAAAAACATAAGCAGCAGCCGGACGTGGTGGCTCACGACTGTAATCCCAGCACTTTGGTAGGCCGATGCAGGCGGATTACCTGAGCACAGGAGTTCTCGACCAGCATTGGCAACATGGTAAAACCCAGTCTCTACTTAAAAAGTACACAAAATTAGCCAAGTGTGGTGGCATGCACCTGTAGTGCTAGCTACTTGAGAGGCTGAGGCAAGAGAATTGCTTGAACCCGGAAGGCAGAGGTTGCAGTGAGCTGAGATTTCGCCACTGCATTCCAGCCTGGGAGACAGAGCAAGATTCCATCTCAAAAAAACCAACCAAACCAAAAATCTATAAGCAGCATAGAAGTGTATGTGGTAAAAGTGAATTATCCCCACCCCCACTGCAAGACGGAGTCTTGCTTTGTCACCCAGGCCAGAGTGCAGTGGTGTGATCTTGGCTCACTGCAACCTCTGCCTCCCGGGTTAAGCAGTTCTCCTGCCTCAGTCTCCCAAGTAGCTGGGATTACAGTCGCCTGCCACTGCACTGGGCTAATTTTTGTATTTTGAATAGAGACGGGAGTTTCACCATGTTGGCCAGGCTGGTCTTGAACTCCTGTTCTTGTGATCTGCCTGCCTCAGCCTCCCAGAAAGCTGGAATTACTGGTGTGGGATTACAGGTGTGAACTGTCACACCTGGCCGAATGATCCCTTTTCCCTACCACTATTTCCACTGTACAGATGTTACTGCTGTTAACTGTTTAACGTGTAGGCTTCTAAATTCACTTCTATGCCCATGTGAGTGCATAAAGTACAGGGTTTTTGTTTTAAAACAAAGATAACATACATATAGTTCTGTACTTTGCTCTTTCCTTTATCACTGTATTGTGGACATCTTTCCTTGTTAGCACTTACAGATATACGTCTTTTTTTTTGGAGATGGAGTTTTGCTCTTGTTGACCAGACGAGTGCCGTGGTGCAATCTTAACCCACTGCAACTTCCACCTCCCAGGTTCAAGCAATTCTCCTGCCTCAGCCTCCCAAGTAGCTGGGATTACAGGCACACGCCACCCCACCTGGCTAATTTTTGTTATTTTTAGTAGAGATGGGGTTTCACCATGTTGGCCAGGCTGGTTTCAAACTCCTGACCTCAGGTGATCTGCCTGCCTTGGCCTCCCAAAGTGCTGGGATTACACACGTGAGCCACTGTAACTGGCCACTTCTTTGTTTTTAATACTGCTGTAGTGTGAATCTTTTTTCCCCCTGGGTGCGTTTTAGAAAGTGTTTCTAACAGATTTTCTTAGCTCTGAATTTGTATTAGAATACTTTGATAAACATTTTTAACTGTTGGTAATTGTATAATTATAATGGGCTTAACATAAACTCTAAAGTGTTTTTGTAAATGGCCCTGCCTCTTGAATTAATATTACTTCTGTGAATCTTTTCTGAGGAAACACTTCAATATACTGGAAAAAAATCCGGAAGCCAAAAGAGATTTTTCCAAAAGTTAAAAATATTTCTTTTTCTGTTTATAAAGATACCACATAACCTTAGAAGAAAATTGAGCACTTGTATAAAAAAACATGAAGAAGCAAATTACTCCTTTAAATCCAACCATCTAGAGATAATATTTTAAAACATTTTTTGAGTATATTTTCACCATTATAGATTTACACATGGATAAATTGATGCTGTAGCACTGGATGTGAATATTCATCATACTGTTGAAAGTCTGAATAATTACTCAATTTTTGGAGATAACATTATTTACAAAGTTCCCTATAAAATGATACTTGTTTTCAGTTTTTATATTGTGAATGGCAACAGTGAATATTTTTATATCTGTTTGTATGGTGTGCAGTGGTTCTGTAAAATACTCCTAAAAGTGGAATTGGGGAATCTATTTTAAAATGGTTATTTAAAACTGGAATCAGGTAATTTGTGAATTTCAGGTTGGTAGATGAAAATAAATGTTTCTCATTAGACCATAAATTTCTCTTAAAAAATCTGAAGTATTCAGTCTCTTATTTTTTCTCTGCCTGCAAGTGATACTAATTCCTTATGCATACAGATAAGAAACAAAAACTTCTTGGAGGTATACTGTATATACCTTTTGTGATTTCCAGTTCAGCTTCTTGCTACCCTTAGTAAGGGTAGTAAGTCATCTCTGATCCACGTTTGCTCAAAACACTTTTAGTGGTGGTTATTCCATTTGTAGACAGCTATAGTTTATTGGAAAAACCTGTCCTCTTACTGAGCTGTGTTGTTTCCTAAGTCCCACCTATTTCTGCTCTCAGAACCACAGAAAATTAAGTCTTATGCCTCTCCCAGATCACATTTTAAAAATTATTTGAAGATAGCTACAAAATCCTGATATTTCTTTCTCTTTTCTAAGTAAAACTTTTTTTCCCCCTACCTACATTTATATATCATGATGTGATTTCTGTTTCCTTTCCCAGGCTGAATTTTGTTATGTGGTTTGGCAGTGCAAAATTCATTGAAACAATCACTTTCCTTGATATGAGTATTGTACTTTTAGAAATAAGTGCTTTGACTAGTCATGCGCTGACGCATACTGAACTGAAAAGTGATTTAAATGTTCTTTTTCCATTCCATACTTGTGCAGTTGAGATTTGAACCTAAAAGCAGAGCTTTGCATTTCTTTTCATATAATTTAGTCTTATTTGGATTAGCCCATTGTTCTGGCTTCACTCAGTTTTTTTTACACAAAAATCAGTTTTTTTGATGCTTGTGCCTCTAGTATTTCATCTAAATGACTGACTGAATGTTTAATAGGGTGGAGCTGACTGCGATGTGCCTCTGAAGGCTATCCATTTACTGAGGATTTTTTTAAAAATTTCAACAACTTGTCAAAATTGACAATTTTTATTTTCCCTTGTGAAAATTGGTGCAGCTTTTGTTTATCTTTAGTATTCTGGCACCACACTGCTTTCTCCTTATGGCTAGAAAAGCAGGCTCTGGAGCCAGATTCCTGGGTTCCAATCCTGGCTATGTCATTTATTAGCTATGTGGCCTTAGACAAGTCACTTCTCTGAAATCTGAATTTCTTTCATGTGTAAAATGAGGATAGTACTTATTTTGTGCGGTTATGAGGATCAAATAAGTTTATATATATAAAGCATTAGAATAGGGCCTGGCACATAGGAATGTTATATAAGTGTACTATTATTGTACTCAGATTTTTTTCTGCACTCTACAATCAGATCTCAAATTCTTTGAATTCCCAGGGTTAATGGGTCTGGTCCAGCAAGCCTGGACTTTTTGAAGCAGCTGTAGTCTCACTTCCCATGTCCTCATATTTTTGAGCTTCAGAGCTCTTTAATATTTCATCTGATAGAGTCACTTGAAGAAAGATATTTTAATGTCCTTTTTATTATAAAAGAATTAGTGCTTATTAAAGGCAATTTGGAAGATACAGAAAAAAAGTGTAAGTAAAAACAAAATCTTACCACCCAAATACAACCACTAACTTCTTAACATTTTCTTTTCCTTCCACCATATGGTAGATGTAATCACATCATGTATGCCTTGTATTTTACTTTTAACTTAATATTGTATTGGGAGTTTTAAAACTATATAGTCTTTGTTTTTAAGAAATCATTTTAATGGTTGCATAACATTTTATTGAGTGAATCATTTCCCAGTTGACCTTGTAGGTAATCACTTTTTCCACTGTTCTAAATCATACTGATGAGCTTCTTTATATTTAAAGCTTTTTCAGAATTATCATTAGTAAGGAAAAAGTCTGAAAGCTGATTTCTGAGCTTAGAAGCTATAAACATTTTTAAGATGCAAAGATTATTTTTATTGATAGATTTGACCAAAATAACGTAGGAGATAGTTTTTTTCTGTCTTTTGTAGTAATTCTATCAGTTCTTTTTTCTTCATGCTCTGAATTACATAGCTTGAAGTTTCTTCTTGTCTTAATTTGCCTTTTTTTTTTTTTTTCAAGGTTCATGTCAAACTTGAATTTTAGTTTCCTGGTCTTAATGTTAATAAGTTACTTGTGCTTAGATGTGTTCTGGATTATGTGTTTTATTAATGTTCTATTAAAATATGAGTTTCTGTGTAGGCTATGCTGGTTTCTTTTGATGCTTCTTAAACTCTAGAATCATTTAACTTTAATGTGGAAAGAACTGAGGAGGGTACCCTGGCTGAGTCTTCTGAAGTCCTACAGTTTGTTCCTTTAATAATAATTTTTTCAGCCACACTTCTTCAGCTGGTGCATCATAACTCTGGATTAGGTTCTAACCATCTGTTACCTAGATTATTTCATCAGGGTCACACTTCAGCTGGCTGCCTTCTTTCTAACTTTTAAGAAATTCTTTTCCCAGTAATAAGCATATTTTATAAGCTGAAATGAATCTTTTAACCTGATTCTTTTTGGAAAGTTTTTCTTTTCCTGTTTTTTTCTTTCCTTTTTTTTCCCCTAAACATTGATCAACAGAGAAAACTGTAGGAATTCCACAAGAGACTTAATTTAAATCCATAGTTTATATATTGAATATTTTACCTCAAGTATTTTTATATATAAGATGGATTTTGAGCTATGTGTCTTTTGTTAAACAACTACTTAAATAATATCATTACATGGGATTTTAGATGCCTAGTATTTTAAAACTTAAGTTCTCTAAATGAGGAGAACCTAGGCATGTTTCTTTGGCATCATCAACCTTCATCTTTTCTGTGCTGTGTCCAGAGCACTCCTGTTATATAGATGCTTGCAGATTTTGTATAATTGTATGTTCATTTTCATGTGTATAAATTTTACAGCTGTGTCTTTATCTCATTTATTTAAGATCTGGACATTGGTGGTTGGCTATGTGTTGACTGTTTCATTCAAGTGGAATGCAAGCACTGAACGCTACTTGAGAGCAATTTCAATTCCTGTCTGGATTATATTGCTTTTTCATTTAGGTGGGTTCCTTTTTTTTTTTTTAATGTTTTTTAAGTCTAGCTTAAGGTTAGCAGAGGCTGACTGTGTGAATGAAAGTGAATTCTTTGTAGTGTTATATGTTGCATTTAAAATTCTTTAATCTTTAGAAAATGTTATGCTTTAATGTTTCATTAAATTTTAATGAAAATGATGTGCTTTCAAATGTCTTTAATTATGTTACATGTTCATTTTCCAAAAGGTCCTTTCAAAAGTCAATACATCTTAAAAAGTAGAGCGCCCTTGGATTCTCGTATCATTTCTGAGTGTCATACTTAGGGGAGGATATAGATAAGCAGTCAACAATGATAAGAGGTGCTCAGAATCATGTGTGAGAACCGGTTAAGGGAACTAGAGATGTTTACTCTGGATAAGAGGAGGGAACCAGGGCTCTAGGGTGGAAAGAAGATAGAGGTAAGGAGGATATACAACATGAAAGCCTATTTCTGATATTTGAAGGAGCGTCTGTGAAAGAGTACTTTAAATAGATCTCTGTAACCATGAGAGAGAGATGTCAGAGTAGTGAGTAGCTTCAGAGAGGCAAATCTCTTTTCTACATAAGGATGATTCATGTCAGAGCTGCTCAGAGTAATGGGTCCCCTGTTATGTTAGCAGGTGACTGCTCAGATGTTGATTTTTCAGCATGGTGCTTATGGTTGAGACTTTCATCTCTCAAGTTTGAGCCAATGGAAACATTAAGTTCTAATTAAACAACACAATTCAGTAACCCAGGGCAGTAGAAAGCCTTAAAGTAGTTTCTTACTGTTGAAAATAAAATAATAAAACAGTAATGTCTCTGTTGTTGTTTGATGTCAAACAAAGCATTATTTTCTAGCTTTGTTGAGTTGGAATGATAGAGGAATTTATTGCAAGATCCCTTATGTCAGATATGACTCATTTTGAACTCAGGGAAGGCAGAGGAGGGAGGCAGGCAAACAGGCATGTTTATGAGGTTCTAGGTGGACTCAGGGAAATGGTTATAGGTAGGGACGTGTTTCTTGGTGACTTGTAAACATTTTTTTTTGTTGTTGTTTTTTGTTTTTTTGAGACGGAATCTCGCCCTGTTGCCCAGGCTGGAGTGCAGTGGTGTGATCTCGGTTCACTGTAGCCGCCTCCTCCCGGGTTCAAGCAATTCTCCTGCCTCAGCCTCCCAAGTAGCTGGGATTACAAGTGTGTACCACCATGCCTGGCTAATATTTTTCTTTTTTTTGGATTTTCAGTAGAGATGAGGTTTCACGATGTTGGCCAGGCTAGTCTTGAATTCCTGACCTCAAATTATCCACCTGTCAGCCTCCCAAAGTCCTGAGATTCAGGCATGAGCCACTGTGCCTGGCCGAATTGTAAACATTTTTGCATTATATGCTGAGGAGGAGACATTGACACTTTTGCTGTGCTCTTTTGGGCTATTCTCTTTCTTGAGAGATAAAGTTCACACCCTGTGGTATTTTCAGGAAACCAGATCAGACTTTATAACTTTGAGATCTATGCCTAATTCTGGTCATTCTGGGATGAGGTAGGTGGTTTGAGTTTGGGATGATTTTAGACCCTTAGTATGCATTAGAATAGACTCTCTTTAATAGAACCCTATTAAAGGTAGGCTGGCATATAACCTATCCATTTGATCAGGGGCTCTGAGAGTAGGGATGAACATAATTTTGACAAACCTTGAAGTTTAGTCTATCTAATGGACTTAAAAATTTTTTTTTGCTTGGTAAGTAATTCCGTAATTGATATATATACCAGATTGTTCTGTCAAACTACAAAATTGAATCTTACAAAAACAAGTACTGGGTTTTAATTTCACTAAAAATGTTAATTCTTAATAATTTGCAGCATCCCTGGCTGGCTCATGGAGAATTCCAGTATTCCTGGTTATTGTTTTCCTGATGTCTGTGGGCACCCTCTATGAAAAACAGAATGAAAAAGAGTCTTCTGGTAAGAAATAGGGCATTCTATTAATATTACTCTTTGAAGTATTCTGGAGAGTAGCTTTTAAAAAAATGTTACGATGAAATGCTTTGAATCTATTTAAAAACCTATGGTGGTTTCTGAATGGAAAATACATTGTTTAAACATACTAGAGATGGTCTTACTCTATTGCCCGGGCTGTAGTGCAGTGGCACAATCATAGCTCACTGTAACCTTGAACTCCTGGGCTCAGGGGTCTTCCAACTTCAGCCTCCTGAGTAATGAGGGCTAAAGGGCAATAACCATATAAAAATGGCATACAATTTACTCACAGTATTGTGCAGCCGTGACCTCTATTTTTGGTCATGTAAGAGGTGAAAGTATAAAATTCTTAACAGGAAACTTAAGGGCAATGTCTATAGACATTTTCATCACTTCAGAAAGAAACCCTGTACATAATATCAGTACTTCATTCCTTTTTATGGCTGAGTAATATTCCATGGTAAGAGTACACCACATTTTGTTTGCCTACTCATCAGTTGATGGATATTTGGGTTATTTTCACCATTTTGGCTATTGTGAATAGTGCTGCTGTGATCATTCATATGCAAGTATTTATTTGAATACATGTTTTCAGTTCGTTTGAATGTTTACCTATGAGTAGAATTACTGGGTCATATGTGTTTAATTTTTTAAGAAACTGCCAAACTCTTTTCCACAGCACGTGACCATTCAAATTTCTGCCAGCAATGTATGAGGATTCTAATTTCTCTGCAACCTTGCCAAAACTTATTATTTTCTACTTTTTGATAAGGGCCAGTCTAGTGGGTGTGAAATGGTATCTCATTGTGGTTTTCTTTTGCATTCCCAAATGACTAATGGTATTGAGCATCTTTTCATTTGCTTTTAGGCCACTGGAGAAATGTCTATTCAAATTCTTTCTCCTTTAAAGAAAATTAAGTTGTTTGCCTTTTTGTTGTTGAGTTTTAGGAATTCTTTATATATTCTAGGTACTAGACCCTTATCAAATACATGATTTGTAAATATTCCATTGGTGGGTTGTATTTTTACTCTCTTGATAGTCTCTTTTGAGGCACAGAAATTTTTAATTTTGATGAAGTCCAGTTTATCGATTTTTTTTCTTTTGTTTCTTGTGTTTCTGGTGTCATAGCTAACGAACAATTGCCAAATCCAAGGTTATGAATACTTACCCTTAAGTTTCCTTTTAAGAGTTTTATACTTTTACCTCTTATATTTAGGTCATTGATCCATTTTGAAATAATTTTTGTACATGATCTGAGGTAAGGGTCCAACCTCATTCTTTGGCCTGCGTATTTTCTGTTCTCCCAGCACAGTTTGTTGAGGAGGCTATCCTTTTTCCATTGAATGGCCTTGGCACCCTTGTCAGAAATCATTGACCATATAGGTATGGGTTTGTTTCTGCCATTTCTGTTGTGTTTCACTGATCTATATGTCTATTTTTGTGTCAGTTAACACATTCTTTTGATTACTGTAGTTTGTTGTGAAGTTGAGAAGCATGAGTTCTCCAACTTTGTTCTTCCTTTTCAAAATTGTTTTGACTATTTTGGGGTCCCTTGCATTTCCATATTTACGATCAGCTTTTCTGTTTTAACAAAAACCCTTGTTGGGATTTTGTTAGGGATTGCATTCAATCTAGAGATCACTTGAAGCATTGCCATCTTTACAATATAAAAAAACAAAACCATAAAAACCTTCCAGTTTATGAGCATGGGATGAATTATTTAGTTACTCTTTAATTTGTTTCAGCTGTGTTTATTTTAAATTTTAAATTTTAATTTTTGTGGCTACATAGTGGGTGTATATATTAATGGGGTACTTGAGATGTTTTGACACAGGCGTGTAATTCGTAATAATCACATCATGTAAAATGGGGATACATCCCCACAAGTATTTGTCCTTTGTTACAAACCAATTATACTCTTAGTTATTTAAACATACACAGTTGAATTACTGACTGTGGTCACCCTGTTGTGCTATCAAATACTAGGTCTTATTCTTTTTATTTTATTTTATTATTATTTTTTGAGATGCTTTCTTGCCCAGGCTGGAGTGCAATGGCGTGATCTCAGCTCACTGCAACCTCTGCCTCCTGTGTTAAAGTGATTTTCCTGCCTCAGCTTCCTGAGTAGCTGGGATTGCAGGCACCGCCATCATGCCCAGCTAATACTTGTATTATTGTAGAGACAGGGTTTTATCATGTTGGCCATGCTGGTCTTGAACTCCTGATCTCAGGTGGTCCATCTGCCTCGGCCTCCCAAAGTGCTGGGATTACAGGCGTGAACTACTTGCACCTGGTCCATTCTTTTTAGTTTTTTGGTACCTATTAATAACTATCTCCAGCTTTCCCCTACTCTATCACTATCCTTCCCAGCCTTTAGTAACTATCTTTCTGCTCTCTATCTCTAAGTTCAATTGTTTCGATTTTTAGATCCCACAAATAAGTGAGAATGTGAGATGTTTGTCTTTCTGTGCCTAGTTTATTTCACTTAGCTTATATGGCCTCCAGTTCCATCCATGTTGTTGCAAAAGACACAGTCTCATTATTTTTTACGCCTGAATAGTACTCCATTGTGTGTAAATACCGCATGTTCTTTATCCATTTATCTGTTGCTGGGCACTTAGGTTTCTTCCAAATTTTGGCTATTGTGAACAGTGCTGCAACAAACATGGGAATCAGCAGTGTTTTGTAGTTTTCTTTGTATGTCTTGCACCTTTAATTTATTCATTATTCTTTTTGATATTATCATACATGGAATTGTTTTCTTAGTTTTCTTTTTGGATGGTTTATTGCTGCTGGGTAGTAATACAACAGATTTTTTGCTTGTTGATCTTGTATCCTGTCGCTTTGCTGAAATTATTAGCTTCAGTAGTTTTTTTGGTATATTCTTTAGGATTTTATATATATAAGGTCAGTCATCTGTAATAGGGATCGTTTCACTTCTTCCTTTCTAATTTGCATGCCTGTAATTTATTTTTCTTGCCTGATTGTTCTGGTTGGAATTTCTAGTACAAAGTTGAATAGACCATGTACTTTTAAAGATTTTTTTGAGGTACCCTGGCCGTGAGTGACCTGTATCTGGAAACAGTTTGTTAAAGGTACAGGTCTCTAATGAGCTGTAAGTGGGGAGGGTGTCAGGATATATTTAATTTTTTTGAGATGGAGTCTTACTTTGTTGGCAACCTGGAGTGCAGTGGTATGATCTCAGCTCACTGCAACCTCCGTCTCCCAGGCTCGAGTGATTCTCCTGCCTCAGCCTTCTGAGTAGCTAGGACCATAGGCGCATACCACTATGCCCAGCTAATTTTTATATTTTTAATAGAGACAGGGTTTCACTGTGTTGGCCAGGCTGGTCTTGAACTCCTGATCTCAGGTGGTCCACCTGCCTCGGCCTCCCAAAGTGCTGGGATTACAGGTGTAAGCCACCGCGCCCAGCCTACATTGTTTTTAAGATCTTTGTTCTATTCTAATCATGAGACTGTTTGTGGCACTCTGTTGTATTTGTACATATACCTTGTAAAATTTTTAAAAAATTAATTTGCTCTTTATTTTATTTGATAAATGAGTAATATCTAACAATTGTAAGCCACATTTTTATTCGTAAATATATGTTTAGAATTTTAAAATAACTGAAACAAAGTAACTTTAATTACATATTTCTCTGACAGTGGAAAATAGGGAAGATTTTATTTTATATTTTGGTGTCTAAGTTTTCTTTGTTCAGCCTGTCTTCCTGATTATAATCTGTTACTCTGTGCTTATATATCTGACTAGTGGAAGTAAATTTCCTGTTTTGGCAATTACTATAGAAAGCCTGGCGGTTTCCACTTGTTTCTCCGGTTGGTTTTATCTCCTTTGTTTTCTTTCACCTAATAGCAAGTGATTCAGACAGCTCTGATTACCCTTTACCCCTTACCCCAGAATGATTTCCCTTTTAGACTGCTTTTGTCCAGGGCTAAGTAAGTAGCTTATTAAGAATATAAGTAATGCAGGTCTAAAACAAAGGTTGCAGTTGGGTTTTCTCCAAGTGTAAATTCTAGTCGTTCAATGATGGCAGCCAGAAAACTGTAAGGATAAGACTTCTAAGACCAAGTTTTGAGCAGGGGGAAAAAGGAGACCATGGTCGGTTATGATTACTACCCATAAACTTAGAATAGTGATGTGTTGATATGCAAGCCAGATTGCTGTTATTTGTATTACAGGCTATGACAAGGAAGGAAATCACAGACACACAGAATAAATGTTGAGGACAGATTTGGAAATCATGTTTTTGTCTTTGTTTTTGTTTTTTTCTCTCATTTCAGTCTGCCTCAAGATAGGTTATTGATCTTGAATTCTTTTCTGGATTTCTAAATAATCCTCATCATAAAATAAATCTTCTAAGTTTTTTTTTTTTTTTTTTTTTTTCCTAAATTTGAGTATTTTTTTCTTCTTGCCCCTAAGAACATTGTTTCTTTTTAAGGATCAGAACTCAAACCATCTGGTGTGTAATGGGACAGCCCTTCTCTTCTACTTAAAGTTTCCTGCTATAGATGTCACTGTAATGTAGGTAGGTACAGGAATGCTTTAGTATACTGTCACGAAATGTGTGCATCGGCTCTTCCCTTGTCATTTCCAATGTCCCTTTGTAGCACTTGCTCTTGTTTTCCAGTCATTCGCGTAGGTATCTTTCTGTTTTCTGAGCTTTGAAGGTTTTGTGCTGTAGAAACTTTTATGATCTGTGGTTCACTAGACTTACAGAATTAGTACTGGATTTCATCAGAATTCAAAGTATGAATTTGGTTCCTGGACCCAGAATATTCTTCTATTTATTTATTTGTTATTCTTATTTTGTTTTTAGAGACTTGAGACTCGCTCTATTGCCCAGGCTGGAGTGCAGTGGTGTGTGATCATAACTCACTGCAGCCTTGAACTCCTGGGCTCAAGCAATGCTCCTTCCTCAGCCTCAGAAAACTCTTCTTGTGGATAATTGCTGAGTTAGTTTCAG